AGTTTTTCTGGATCCCTGGCCATGTCGGTATTCATGGGAACGAGCTTGCTGACACCGCAGCTAAATCCGTCTGCTCTGGTGCCATCACGGCGTGCACTGGACATTGTCAGTATTAATATAACCATGGATTTAGGTATTCAGATTGTGCATGTTAAAACCTTTTTTATATAGGCACAATCAAAATTTAATTAACATTATTATCAATGTATTTCAATAAACTTATCATCAAAATGTAGTTTATATTTCATATTTTAATATTATATAAAAAGTTTAATTTCTTAATTACAAAAGGAAATATTCGAATTCCCACTTTTCTGTATCATTTCACAATTCTTTGCTTTGAATTTCCCATTTTTGATTTTCTTATTGCCCCTTTATGATGTCCTGAGTTTAACATAAATTACACATCACCCTATAAATTACCTATTGTATCCTCTCTTTCACAAAATGTCTTATGTTTGCTCTTGGATTATTTATAACCATAGAAATACAGGGCTTTAATTTATTTCTGTATAAGGCTAGCTTTTTCTGACAATGGTGTTTGAATTATTCAGCCTACAGATTTATTGTTTCTATCACCTAGTTCACATTGACCATGTAAGTGAATTATTTAAGGCACTTGTAGCTTAGTTAGAAAATCAGATAAATTATCATTGTTATAGGAGACATTGTTTTTTTTTTTTGTACATATTATTTTGTGTACTAAGTTACATATTTAAAATAAATAAATTTGATTTTATGTACTACTACTACTACTACCATCATTAGAAAACAAAATAGGATTAAGCTTCATTGGGCCCAACAGCAAAGAAGTGGGAGGTTGAAACATTGGTCATTTTGACCAAGACTACATATGAATGTATGAAGAAATAACTTGCCTCCACTTAACTTCTGTCAGTTAGACGGACAAAATCTTCCGTAGTTACACACAGTGATTGGCAGATGAGACAGCTGGGATGCTAATAATTAACATTCTGTGGTTATCAGTGTTGAAATAAATTAATGCATAATCATGATTATGTTAGCAATCAAATTTTACTTTAAAAAATATATATATATCAATACAGGACTCACTCTTGTATCAGCAAGAAAAATATTTGAAACTCTGTGTGTATCAGTGTATTGGCACACTTTTAGGTATTTCCATTATATACTTCCAGTTTGAATTAGAGAGCATTTCTCATGAAAATGTTTAGCATAAAAATTTGTACTTGATTACTGCAGATTTAGTTCTCATTGGCTGGGTATGAGGGGTGGGTGATAAAAATAAAACATATAGGGTAAAATGCTTAGAGGGATACATCTGTCCACATATGAGAAGTGGGTATTGGTAGAGGTTGGACTCTATAATATGAAAACAGATATACAAATTGCAGTGAATTATTCATAGTGGTAATATTTTTCTTTGGTAAAATATTGTAATATGTGTACAGTAGAAGTTTGTACACTGTTAAAATTCATTATAACCACACATTAATTAGCCTATATTTCCAGTGGTACAACTGTTATATAAAAATATCCATCAAGAATCGATGTCATATCAGTATGAGTTGCAAGTCATAAAGTCAGATTATTATTATTATTGATGAATTGTTTTAAACAACCATTTGTTTTTTTTATTATTATGGTGTTTGCTGATTTCTAAACACTATTAGTTGCATGGGTGTTTAATATTTTTTATGCCTTTTTTTTACATTTTTTTTCTTGACTTATAGGAGTGTCAGTCAGTATCATTTGCTGTCACATAGCTTTGCTTCTATTAGAAAATTTTTAAAAACAAAGTTTACTCATACTACTTGTGTTCTTGCCAAAACAGTCTTGTAGTTGTTTAAACGTAATAAAATATGAACTGCTACATTTCTTTTTTTTTTTGTATCATTAGGAATGTAAACTGAGCTTCATTTATAACTAAAAATGAACTCTACAGAAGACAACAGAGAAAGAACACCAAATACAAATGAGGAAGAGCCTTCAAACAAACGAAAAAGGTCAGAAGTAGAAGTGGAAGAAGAAAACCAAGAGACACTACTAAAGGTGTTATGTTCTAGCAATTTTCCAATATGTGATTATGAAAAAGAAATATAAATTACATAATTTGTTTGTACTACTACACTTAAATAAATAGTTTGAAGGTTAGATATGTAATAATGTTGTTTTCAATTTTTTTTGTTCTGTTTCAAAAATTATTAGAAAGTTGTGTCCATTATTCAAGTAATATGTTCTTATTTTCATGATTAATTACTGTTTTTCTAACTGTTTCATAAATACAATGTTTTTTTACCTAGCACGGAAGTACTTATAAAAATAATGCTTTTTATTTCAAACTGTAACATGTTAGTTTTTACAATTAACAAAAATTATTACTTTTTCCCTTGTTATAAAATTTTTTTAACATCAAATTTCTTGAGCCCTTCAATTGTTATCATACATTATCTTTTTTTTGGTACACAAACTAAGTAAAGGTTTAATAAAAGCCTGAATTTATTAAAGACCAAACATTTTTTTCTATCCAGAAACTTCTTATGACATTTCACCACACTGTCAGTGAGAGACTGGACAGTATAGAAAATCGACTTGAGTGTGTGACCAATAGTTGTAAGGCACTGGAAGAAAAGTTGGAGGTTTTGGATGCAGCATGGAAAGAGAGTTCATCCACACAACATTTTATAAGGTAAAGTTCTGAACATACTAATTTCAGTTAAAAGTTACAGAGGTGAATGTTGTATGAAGCTTAAAATCTGTTAAATAAGCAGCAAAACTAGTGAACAACTAATCTTTTAGTAGATTTAAATGATAAGTTAAGAGTGATGTGTGTTTGTTTCATGTTGTAAATTGAAATGTTGTATTAGTTTCTGGCTTTAATGCTGGTATAATTAAGTCTGACTTGTTATATAATTGATTTGAATGTTTTTTCTTGAGGTGCAAGTGGTTAATACAGAGGCTGAGTACATTATGTTAAAACAATTTTGGTACCTTGCTACATCATTACAGCCCATGTCACCACTTCTGGCCATATGTTTTATCTGAAAACTGTGCATCCCGACAATAGGCCTGCAACAAAAAAACACTGTTAAAAGGCTGTCATGTCTAAACCATGCACCCCTTCCTGTGATTTTTCTTTTATTTGTCTAGTGTATGAGGATGATGGTTCCCATCATCTGTTTCAATAGTCTGATCACAGAAATCCAATGGAATAGTATGAATACCCCTTTCATTCTCCAGCTGCTTGAGGTGTTCAGTGATTGAATGAATATGTTGTGAAAACAACTTGTGTACACATGAATCGTGTTGCTTTTCCAGATGGAGATCCTTCTTAATTATGTTGCATGCTGTTTTCTGGGACATGTTGATAGTATTTGCCACTTACTTTTCTGGATTCTCATCTGTTACAAAATGGTCACGCTTTGCTTACCACAGTTGAGGTATGACTTGTTGCAAGTTTCTTTCATGCCCCAACTTCATTCATATTCCTTTGTTTACTAATGCCATGTAGTACATGAGATAGCCATGAAAGTCTGCTTCCCTGATCTGAACATGTTTTTATGATCTGAGTATATGAATAGTTTATGTAAGAAAGGGTTTTTACATAACCTTCTCAAAAGCAATCAATTTTTCATGGCACCACACTATGTAAAAAATGCCAGACAGTAGTTCTGATACATTTTGTTACACTGTAACTTTATATCAGATGTTGTTGTCATGTGACTTGCTGGTTTACACAGTCTTGAACTTCTTTGTATAATGTACTCAACCCTTTGTGTATTTGTATTCAGAATTTAATTTCAATTGACGTGATTTGAAGTTTCTATTTGTATGATAATTATTTTTGGAGTTTTGTTGAGAGATGAAAAAATTCTCATACTACAATTAGAATAGTCAGAAATGAGCAGGAAGAGCTTCACATAAATAATTTGATGTTGCTTCAGTGAGTAATTCATAGAATGCTTAGAAAATATTACCATTGATCTACAAAAAGTTACAGTTGTAAGAAAATAATCTTGGGCTTGTATTTATTTGTCGAAGCAAATTCATGTTTTCTTTTTTTTATCAGTAATGATTTATCTTTGTTACTTTTCCTCACGGGTAATCAAAACTAAATGTCATTTAGTCAGAAAAATACTTTGGAGATCAACCTTGTTATGCAAAGCTCTGTTTGAAATATAATTAAATTTTTTCCTTTCTAGGTCTTTTTTTTTCTCTTTTCAGTAAAATGTCTTCCAACTAATGAGGACAATTCAGTAAAGATACAATTGATTTTTAGGGGCATCAGTTTATTTCTTTTCTTACTGGTGGATTACCCTTGAGTGAGCATACAGTATTCTGACATAGTTAGTAGAATTTGTTTGCTTTTATAAAGATACCTGTAAATCTGTGATCTGAGTGAAATATCGGATTGGTAGATATCAGGATCGGATTTTGACAGTATGCATTTGTGCGTTCCACTTGTCCAGGCATCACTAATGTATATATACTAGTGGTGTGCATTAAACTTTAAAACTCATCTTCAAATAAATCACTCACTTATCAGACTGCAAAAAGGACAAAAGTGGAATGTTGGCTCAAGAACCTTAAGTCAACTGTAAAATGTTGTAAATCATGTCCATAGCATTTCTTTATCGATGTAAACCCTATAACAAACTGCCCTGTAACAAAAACAGGAAGGGGGAGGTTGGACCTGGTAATAATTATGACTATCAGAAATAAAGGCACCTTTGAAGTGATGCTAGGATATATTATGGCAAATGAAACTGTTGAAAATACATTTACTTTTGTAAAAAAATTAAAGACGCACTTAATATGTATCAGGACATGACCTGAACTGATAGTCGCCAGTATTCCTTTTCCTTTCTCCGTGATTGACCTCATTTTGGGAATAATTTGCAGTCTCTCCATCATGAATGTACCTGAATGCATTGCTTATTTTCAGAGGTAAACAAACTTACCAATCGGATCAGAAAAACATTGGAGAATTCTTTAGATTGGATCAATATCAGTGGCCGACACAGAGATCGGTCGCAGGCTTAGATACCTATAGTTTATATTGTACATAACTTCTGTGTTAGTCATTAAACCAAGCCAAGAAACTAGATAATAAAAAGTAAATTATGCAGTAGTTTTAAAATCTATATTTTTTTTGCCTTCATTTTACAGTATGTATGATTTTGTGATGTTTCTTCCTAACTTTTTCTTTTCTTTTTTACAGTACTGCAGGTGAGACCATGAATTATTGCAAGTTCTGCTATCGTGAAGGAAAGTGTACAGAATTTTTTTTAATTATAAAAGTTATTTTTTCATTCAAAATTAACTACATCCTCATATGAAAACAGAAGTAATTTGTATACCTCTAAAAGTAGGTTTACTGCTAAGACAAGTGTCATTAAGTTTACAAACAAAACAACCAGTAATATTTCACGAAGTTTACATTTCTACCTTATGTCAAGTGTTTAGTTTTGTGAGACAGCTGTGCATGTGGAAAGTAAGAACAAATTACAGAGTACGAGTGGATGAACTACATTAGTTAATAATGTTATTGTTTGCCTTTTTTTATACATTAGATTGAGCTCTTTTTTTTTTCTGATTAGTAACCTCTATTGATCTAATTAACTTACACCCAAACATTATAATTTATAAATTATCTCATTATTTGCACAAGTATCAAAATTTATATATATCTACACACATATACAAATAAGTTACAACACACATATGTTTGGCTTAACTGTAAATGTAATAAATGACCAATAGAAGTTAATAGAGAAAATCATGTGTGGGTTAAATATGGAAGGACCCTTGTGCCTTTAATAACTATTATCAATGATGTTTTGGTATATCATATCCTCTAGAAATAAAAATTATTTACGTGCCATAAATTCATGAGTAAACCAGCCACAGATTGGTGATAATTCTGGAGTATGTAACATTTAAACATTTTTTGGATTTTCTACAAATATGCTAGAATGATAGCTGTGGATTAGGGTTTTTCATTGCCATTATTTTATGGCTTAAAGTCAGTTGTGTTTTTTGTGTGCTATTTCCTGTTTTTAAATGTAGAAAATATACTAAGAACACTATGGAAACATCAGAAAATGATGCTATGCCTTCTGACACTTATAACTGCAAAGTGAAAATGTGTTTCAAGTGCAATAAATACAGTTAGTGTGGGTGGGATACCCATTGGAAAAAAGTTATCAAGGATGGATGAGAAGGTAAAGAGAGTCTCCAGAGAAGAATATAAAGAAAACAAAGTGAAAAGAAGAAAGTTTCTTATGCTGCTGCTGTCTTGGATCTTTAAGATAATGATTTATATGTTAATGAAGCTCATTCATTGTTCTAGTTGTAAGTCTAAGCTATCAACAGTGTAAAATTAATACTTCTGGTACTGGATTTAATGATTTGAAAATTTATATAAGTTTTAAGTTCTTAATTTTATAAGGCAATATTTCCCCTAGTTTGAGAAATGTGACATTTTTTCTGTAGGCAATCCCCTCTTCTGTAATTTATTCACCACCCCCCAATATGTACAAAATTTAATGTAAATTACTCAATATCGAATCGTCATAGCTCAGACTAAACATAATTTTTATAGCCTTCAATCTTGTTTGGTTATAGAGCCATTAAATAGAAAATCAGACCCCTCTTGCCACACCCACCTATCACATCCTCTCTTTCAGGATTAGTTAATAGTTCTCTCTTATGCTTAATATTATTTTATTTATAACCAATAGAATGCTAGGTTTTCATCTATCAAATGACATATTATTTTACATTGTTTTCCTTACATAGAATTGGCAATTTCTCTTTTAGTACAAGCTTTATTCCCATGTGAAACGTATCGACAAGTATGAAAAAATTGGTAATGGCTCTTGTTGCATAGTTAGAATACCAGAAAAATTGTGATAACTATTCGAAATTAGCTGCTTTTTGCATGTTATTATTCTATGTTTTTGGTGCATTATTTAATTAGATACAAATTATTTTGTGCACTACTTCCATTAATATTTAAAAAGTAGGATTGTCATTGACAGTCAACAGCAAAAAAAAAGAAGGTCCAGGTAAGTACTTCAGTTCATGTTTTTCATGTGTATTCTTTATTATAAAAGTCACTAAAATAAAAAAATAGGAATCTCTTTAGGTTAGATTAAGTAAAATAAATAAAAATATAATATAATTTTTTCATGTGGCACGCATGCAAGAAGCTCAGAGTAGCTCATGGATAATGTAATTCGATAGCATAACGTAGGCCCTATGTTTCCCAAGTGATTTACAACTTATAATGGCACAAACAGTTGTTATACATGGTTCAAAGGGCAATGAAACAATAAAATGTAAGTATAAATAGATGTACACTGTTACAGGCTTAAAGTTACTTAGGATAAACAAATGTAGTTTCATGTTACAAGTGCAAGTCATTCTAGAAAGAAAAAAAGGGTAATTTAGATTTTTTCGATTTTTTTTTGTATTTATGAGGTTGGCCAAATTGACCAACCTTGTATAGAGTTAGAGTAGAGAAAACGGATAAAATATAAAGTTTTATTGAACACAAACATTTGAAATGTATTCAGGAGGTTTTAGAGATTATGCAAATGAAATTTGAGATTTTCGAGATGAAGAATTCCATTTTTAATCTTAACATGAAAATCACTTTGCACTTGGAGTAGTAAAAAAAAAAGAATAAATATGTTCACGGACAAATCTTTTTTTTAGTTTGTTAAAATACTCCATTAAAAAATCTGATTTTTTGTATGTAAAAGACTCATAATGTTTACTGAAAGTCTGCTAAATATTGTGAAGATATACATCTATATACTACTAAAACTCTGAGATTGTTTGTTTGCTTGTCTGTAATTAAATACAGCAAAAACGGCACACAATAGCACCATATTTGTAATTAAATAAGAATAGAAACAGAATAAAACAAATTTCGTTAAAATCGGGCCACGGGTTACCGAGTTAGCACCATTTTTCGGGGCACTTTTATGAAAATTTCTAGCAGGAGTAATTTTACATCACGCTACCGTTCGCGCTCTTACAAAACTTCTTCATTCAAATCTATTTCCCTGTTAATATTCCCATCTTCATGAAAAGGCATAAGATGACAAAAACAAGATCTTGAAGAATTTCTCAATAATGTGCCTTGGGTATGGTA